GGCAGTCCCTTTATGTTAGGTTTAAGGAATACTGGTGGGGAAGTTTGTACTGCTGCTGTACCTATTCTGTGGATATGTAAAACTCTTCAGTTTCCAGGGCTGTCAGTCCAGCATCTTTCACCAGCCCTAGCTTCACTTCAAAAAAGTTTTTTAAAAAGAAAAGAAAAACAAGTTTTATTTAGGAATGTTAAATTGCATTGGAAATATTTGTGACATCTGTTGGATTCATTCTAGTAAACTCATTAGGGTCAGTACAACTACAATAAATACAAAATTAATACCAAGGTTTTTTTAAGGTTACATTAAAATAACATTTGAGATCTGTCTTAATCTGGCAAAAGGCAGGAAACAAGGAGTTAAGATCACAAATTGTCCTTAATTCATTTGTGGCTGGAGTTTGTAGGGAATGATAGGACAGGTGCTGGACAGCCCATAACTTTGTACATAGTACCATGTATATTAGAGGAGAGGAAGTATGGTTTCAGAGTTAAGCATGGGATTAGAAATCAGGAGGTTGGGTTTTATTCCTGGCTTGGACCCAGATGTTCTGTGTGACTTTTGGCAAGTTCTTAACCGTCTCTGTCATCTGTTTCCCCATTTATAAAATGGGGACAATGTTACCTACCTCACAGAGAAGTCAGGAGGCTTAATTCATGGATATCTGTAAAATGCTTTGATATTTTGGATGGAAGGTTCAATAGAAGGGCAAAAAATTATTATTGTTATTGTGTAAACTAAACTACCTCTGCTTAATCATAGAAATACAGCAGAGACTACTCCTGCCTGCTGATACTGGGGGGACACAATGTAAAGGGGAGACACATGACCGCCCCACATGTTGCCTTTGGGAGGAACTTCCGGCCTACCCACCCCAGCTTGCTGTGCACTAAATCTCCAAATAGACAAGCCCCTCTGAATTTCCTGGCTTCCCTCCATTCTCCCTTCTTTACAATTTTAAGCCAGGCTCTTAATATTATTGTAATTCTTTTCCTAGGAAGTTCTCTCCAATAGATCCTGAATACCTGTCTTTCCCATGTTTCCATTCATGATATCCCACTCAGAAGTCCCATTTGACAGATCCCAATCTTTTGGTTCAGCAGAATGGACAAGGTACCATTTGGAGCCAGTCAGAGCAGATCTATAACCAGCCAGAAGAATTGCTGTTGGATGACACTTTTCAAAAGCTTTTACTCTTGACTGGCATGCATTTTGTTTTTTCAAAATACCATAACATCATTACATCAAAATCATCACAAGGTCATCACATCAAAAGTCATTACACCAACGTCTTTGCCAAATTATATTGTTTTAATTTGTTTTGAATTTAACAAGATCAACTAATTAATTTACAAATTCCCCAAATTAATTATGTTTAATTTGGAATGTATATCCAATATGCATATAGCTTAATACACCGAAGCCAAAATACCATTGATTCAATGGAACAGAACTGATCCACCACTGACTTCAGTGGAACAGAACTGAGTTCTACATCTCCTAGCCAGATTTAAAGCAGCTAGACAGGTGAAATGCTTTCTTCGAAATTCAGATCTGAATCTTTTACTGATGAATACAAAATATGCTGTTATCTCAGTGCTAAATCCTGATGACAAGAAAGATTAATCAAGTTTGAGAATTTATTCAGCATTGCTAATTGAACTCATTCCTGGAGGCCTGGGAAGCACTAAACCACTGGAGTGTAACAGTGAAAATTAGTGATTTGAATAGAAGAATCATGAACTTTGGAAAAGAAAACATTACCCATCGGTGGCACTCACAGAATGACTCCTTACAAAAACGAAATAAGATTAATGAAGGTGAAGTCAAGACAAACAACAGCTTTTAAAGGCCTCTCTGTCTCTTATTTTCTAGAGTATAGAAAGAAAAAAAATGGACAAGAAAAGAGTACCCATGGAAAAATAAATTCATCATTATATATGCATTAAATAAATAATACAATCTATCCAAAAAACTCAGAGACTCCTCAAGTGCTTAAAAAGCACTGAAAATTTTGCACCTGCAATCCATTATAGGGACAACTGTCAGAAGGCATAAATATATACATAAATACATAATAATTAATAAATACATGACTGCACTCATAAATTAGGTAATTAAATATGCAAGTGCAGTCATTTGGACTCACAATTTTGTGTCTGCAATCAATTGTGTGTGCAAAATTTGCAGATGCAAAATCAGAGGCCAGGGTGTGGCCATTTTAAAAATATGGGCCATACACAACGTAATTGTAAAATGGAGTTTGGTGTAAGGGATTTATAGAAGGAACCAAAGGTGGATCACAGCAGAATTCCACTCATAATAACCCTGGTCACTGATGAGAAACGTTATAAGGAATATCTTTTCCTTAACAGATAATTATGCAACAGCTTCACTTTATAGAGCCCAATGGTCTAATAAGCAATCACAACAACCAGAGAGGCACTACCCCACTAAATTGATGCAATGATTCAATAGGAAATAAAAAAAACAGTCGCATCAGCAAGGTTTCTTCCTCAGCGGCAAATGGTTATAGTAACAAGAAAGTATAGAGAGAAAGTCCTATATTCAAGTTTGTGGCAACACAGATCAGTCACACTGTACCATCATCTAAATTATTCCGTCTAAGCTCTCCAGGGCAGCCACTGTATTTATTTTTGCATTTTGTCAGCACTGAGTATGCTGCTAGTGCAGAATATTACTATTATCTTAGGTACTTCTATGACTTCCCATTACCATAGTATCTGAGTACCTCACAATCTTTAATCATTTATCCTCACAATACACCTGTGCTGTAAGGAAGAGCTATCATGCCATTTTACAAATGGGGAACTGAGGCCCAGAGGGTATGTCTACACTGCAGCTGGGAGTGAGTGTCCCAGCCCAGGCAGACAGGTGTGGGCTTGCAGGGCTAGAGCTAGCACGCTAAAAATAGCAGAGTGGATGTTGCAGCTCAGGCAGGAGCTGTGTTCTCAAGCCTAGGGAGTCGGGTGCACTTGAGAACCTGAGCTCCAGCCGAAGCTGCAATGTCCACACTGCTATTTTTAGCATGCTAGCTTGAGCCCCACTGGCATGAGTCTGTCCATTTGGGCTAGGAGACTTGCACCAAACTACAGTGAAGACATACCCAGAGAGACTAAATATCTTGCCCAAAGTCCTACCAGTCATGTGGCAGAGCAGGGAACTGAATCCAGGCCTCCCAAGTCCCAGCTTAGCACCCCAACTACTCAGTGGCGTAGCCAGCTTTTAAGAGGAGGGGGAGCAAACCTAAAAAAGGCGCCCCCCTTTGGCCACGCCCCCTTGGCTCCTCCTCCGGCCGCATGGCTGACCGCCCCTCCTCCCCGCTCCTCCGGCCGCCATGCTGCGCTCCCCTGCTCCTCCAGCTGCGCACCCGCTGCCCCCCATGGCTGCCGGCCGTGCTACTAGCGGCCAGCCTGCGCCCCCCTTCTGCTCCTCCGGCCGCGCGCCCGTCGCCCCACCATGGCTGCCGGCCGCGCTGTGGGCGGCCAGCCTGCACTCCCCCCTCGCTCCTCTAGCCATGCTGCAGGCGGCCAGCCTCGCGCCCCCCTGCTCCTCCGGCCGCATGCTGCGCCCCTCTCGCTCCTCCAGCCGCGCGCCCGCCGCCCCCCACTGGCTGCCAGCCATGCTGCAGGCGGCCAGCCTCGCGCCCCCCGCTCCTCCGGCCAGCCTTTGGAAAGGCGCCACTGGCAAATTTGCTGAGGAAGCGGCTGCTTCCCCTGCACCCCGCTAGCTACGCTACTGCAACTACTAGACCATCCTTCGACTCATTTGCTACTTATCAAATACTCCTATGCTTGATGAAAAATGGCATGAATCTATCAACCATATTTCAGAATTACCCTCCAGCCTGAATACACATCTCAACAGCAGCCAATTTCAGGCCATGTCCTGAATAAAGGCCTTTCCACCACTGCCCTAAATCACAGGACCAACCAGAATGAATCCCAATATGGCTAATACAGATTGACGAACACGTCATTCTCTCAGCCAAATCCCTCATCTCTGTTACCTTATTACATGGCTGAACCAGGACTTGATATAGCTGATGACATTTTTCAAAGGACTGTTCTCAGACTTGAGAGTATTCAGTGGCTGAGAAATAATGAGACGGCACCTTCAACTTCTGGAGCCAGACTCAAATAGCACCACCTGCACATGCCTAAAACAATTAGTCTGCACTTTGGCGGAATAAATTAATATACAAACCTACAAATTCAGTATTTGGATACATCTCATCTCTGAGGTCAAAACTACTATTCTAAACTTTCAGGCTTATAAACCAGTGGGGCTCTCATTAACTGCAGTGGATATCTCCTGCAACAAAGTTTCTTTTTTAGAAGGCGAACCACTTTATTTATCAATAGAACTTGGCTTTTAGGCTTAAGAAATGCACAGATTTATCAACCCACAATATAAAACCCATCATCTCCATGACACGAATATTGTGGCAATAAAAGTATGTCAGCTTTTGAAATCCTGCACTACTCCGTTATCTGCTCCAGTGAGGTACTGCAGAGATCCATTACCTCTGGAGGCCAAGGTCTGAATTCAGCAGCAAAACACAGAAATGTGATCTCTGTCAGCCTTCACCTGACACTTACAAAACTAACATACACTGCCGCATAATTGACTGCTTTTGTTCAAAACCCATCAGATGACTGAACAAGCACAGCCATTTAATTACTCTTTAATCAGACGGCTTTTTCTGTGATTTGGAAATGTGGGAGAACTGAACATAAAAATACCAACTATACCATTGGGGCCGCCAATGCAATATACAGCTAAAAGCCCAAAGGACTGAAGACAATAAAAAATGGTACTTCCATTAAAACTCTCTTTAAAATCTGAGATATTTTAATTAGCGAGTCTCCCTCTCTAGCTCTGTAAATTTAGTCATTTTGTTTTTCTATTCAAAGCTGCTTTTTAACCTATATTACTTCCTCCCATCACTTGATTTCCAATCAGAAATGTTCACTTTCCAGAATACTAGCTGAATAGTGTGAGCATTGGATTCAAAAGGAGAACATGCAGTTGGAAGGAAGGATTTGAACTGACACAGAAGGATGCTCTGATATTCATCCAAAATGATGGTGAGGATTCTTCCTGCCAGAGGTAAGGCACATTGGCACACTAATGCAGAGATTATTATAATTTGTATTACAGAAGCACCTAGAGGCTCCCGCTGAGATTGGGCCCTATTGAACAAACACAAAGGGAGAGAGTCTCCTGCCTTAAAAGCATACAATCTAAATTGACAAAATATACGAAGGTTGTGGGGAATCAAATTAATAAAAAGTTGAAGTAACTTTCTCAAAAACAGTGGCAGAAAAGAGAAGAGAACCCAGGTCTCATAACCTCAATCTAGTGCTCTAACCACTAGACAGAGATGTTTTCAGAAAACAGTTCTTCTTAGTACTACTGTGCCTAGCCTATGAGTACTGGATTTGAGTAAGATATTGAGTCTTTTTTTCCACTGGCTTCATTGGAAAGATGACCAAAATCTGAAAATATCCAGTCATATTCCCAAGTACCTAGTCTTACTACAATTAACTGCAAATGAATTAAAAGAGAAGGGTACAGATATCTTTGCTAAAGAAATCGGTATCTAAAACTGCATTCAATTATTTCAGTCACTTAGTAAGGTGGGGAGTTGTGTTCGTTTTGTTAGTGTGATGATACACATATATCCAGGCACATTCTTATAAATCAAAAATATAAAGGATGTTCATACTCCACAGCTGGACATTTAGATACCCATTTTGGCACTTAACTACTCATTACATATGCCAAAATGTTAATGTAAGGGCCAATTTCTGCGCTTGGATTTCAAATGTGGGATTTGACATCATACTAAGATGTCCACATTTAAAAATTGGGGCCCTATAAGCAAAAGATTCAATGGATCTTTTCCAGTAATTCTGTACTGGTTCCAGTCCTATTAGCACTGACTATTTTTCAGCTATATAATGCCTTTATCACATGTAGTTAAAACCTGGGTGCAGCGATGTCTTTCTGGACTCAAAAGAAAATAAAACTCACCAATAATGTGAGAAGTGATTTTAGGGAAGTTTGCTGTGATTGTATTAGAATCATACTATCCAGCAACAATAACTGTAATTATTAGGACTCTACTTCTCTCTTGGTATGCCATATACCACAGAATGGCAGCTGTACATCATCCCAGAAAAGTAACCCCCCTCCCACATGCTGCCTACTCCTGTTAATTTGATTAAGAAGGTGATGCCTGCATTAAGTGTTTTGGCACAGAACATTTTGTTTTGTAGCAGTCTAGTTTATCCTTGATTTCATTGAGATTCTGTTGTAAAATTTGACCATGATGGTTTTAGAAAGGTTTATTAAATTGGTGGTTACAGTAAATAGGGTCTGTGAGGATATATTTAGTTTTTGTGCGTGTGCTCTTTAGGAGGATTTTAGTAAGCAGGGTTTTTTTATTTACTTTGAGAAGCATGGGGACCTCTCACTAGCTATCTTGGAATTCTTAATTTGAGATTTAAAGACTTAAAATACTATGTAATATTACTAATAAGTAATATAAGGCAATAAAGTACTATATTACTATAAAGCTTAAATAGTATAAATACTGTCCAGATTCAACTTGTTACACTGCTGTAAATCTGCAGTATCTACACTGATATTAATGAAATTACTCCTGATTATACTTATGTACAGCAACTGAAAGCAAGATTTGGTCCATTACATGTAATGATTTACTGGATAGAAGGTAGACAGGCATAGGACAGGTAACAAAGGTGATTGCCACTATGTGTGGAGAGGGCATATTTAAAAGAGTTTATGTAACATT